TAGAGAGAGAGAAAGAGTAAACTTTTGGTAAACAGATTTTTATATGGCCACCCAGAAACAGTGAGGCACAAAGGGGAATCTAACAAGCAGACTTTTGCTTGGCTCCTCCCTGCCTGCTCCGCTTAATTAAATGTGCTGAGGTGAATATGCGAAGGTGACTCTGCTAAGGTTGCCTTCCTGAGCAGGTTTTTCTCTCTGTATCGCTTAGGAAGGAAAAGAAGAGGGTGGAAAAAACCCTCTTTTGGAGTTTGTTGGGCTTTGTTTTTAACTTACAATAATCTGCCTGGTAAGGTGGCACATTCTGCGGAGATTCCCTCCCAGCCTCCCCACAACATTGGCGTATTTCTTGAAAATAGGCCCTTGTGCTTTAAAAGTTCATCCTGTACCCCCAATACTTAGACCAGCCATGACCAAATTGGTACTTAATAAATGGTGGTTGAATGAATTAGCTGACTTGATTTACTTGGTGATTTTCAACCCTGCTAGGTACTGAAATCACAGAGAGAGCTGAAAAGATACCCTTGCCTCAGGTCATGCGCTCAGAAAGGATTATTTAAATAGGTGTGGGGTGGGACTCAGGCATTGGTAATTTTTAAAACTTCTAGATGATACTCATATGCTGCCAGCTTTGAGAACCATCAGATTCAGTGACTAAAGCAATATACCAGTGCCTGCTTTAGGTCAGATGTTTTAATATCATTTTTGCAATAACTCCATGGAAGGAGATGAAATTTGTTTTCTGTTAACACATAGAAAAAGCAGAGGCTCAGAATGATGTAATAACCTCGTGTGAACCACGCAGTTGGTAAGAGACAGGGCGAGGTCTGACTGTCACCAGCGTTGCCTTCCCAGCTTTCCTTTAGTGGGGGCGGGGGGGAGCAATCCGTTCAGCCCCATCCATTCTCTCAGAGGTGGTGCATTAGCCAATTGTACAACGTTGGGAGAAATGCGGCAGTTGCTCGATTCTACTTGCAAGAATGAGGTTTGGTGGGAATTGGCCCTGTAAGGCATATCTCTGTCACAACTAAGCTGTCTCGCCCAATTTGTTGGTCAATTATGCCTTTTTTTTAGGTCAGTAATGCAGCCTGGCCTCCAGGGCCCCTTTCTCTGGAGTGTCGTTGTTCCAGTAGCTTTTTGGCCAGTTCTTTCCACTCTTCCTCCCCTCCAGTCTCTGAAATGAGCCTATAAATTTAAATTTCATTTCCAAGTCATCTATAATTTCTTTGAGATTTTGATGCTAATCTTTGATGGTTGCAGCACTGTTCTCCTTCTGCAAGTCTCAAATGGTGTATACTTATTACAAACAGTTTTTGAAGAATTATAATATCTCAGATTCACTAGAAGATATACTGGGATCTTACAAGTTAAGTTAAGCATAAATTACAAGTTTGCTTAAAAGTTAGTTACTGATGACCAAAACCAAGTCAAGTTGGTCTAACCATTTAAGTTGTAAACGTTAACAAACTGAGCAAACAGTCCCTAAATACTGTAGTCTATTTAACTTACTAGACATAAATACTGTCATGTTTGTTCTATAGGATAAAAACTGAAGTAACAGTTTTCTTTTTAGTATCAATTATTAGTTGGCAAATCATCATAATGAACAGTTATATAGCATTTAATATGTGCCAGGCACTGTTCTAAGTGCTTTCCATATGTTAACCCACTTAATCTTCAGAAGAACTTGATGAGTTAGGTACTCTAATTCCCATTTTACAGGTGAGGAAATTAAGATGTAAGAGCATTCACTAAGATGTATACCCAGTAAGTAGCAGAAATGAGATTCAAACCCAGGCTTTTTCACGTTGATAGAGGAAGATTGAGATGGTGCTGTAATTCCTGAGTATCACGTAGCCTGAACTAACACTTCTAGCAGTTGGCCTGAGCAACCAGCAGGTTAGAATGGGAGACATGGGAAAATCTTGATGTAGCTGCTAAATCTTTTAAAGGAGCAGTAGTCAATGTGCAGAGCTGGGCTCTCTGGCACACAGTAAAGGCAATGATGATGAGGGTATTGAAATAATCGGTTTATGCCTCCATGATGCACCTCAGACTTCTTTTGGTTACTAATCATGACATCCTACTTATGCTAATGGTCATTTTTTTCAGTCCTAAGCTTCCTTAAACTGCAAAATTGTTAGCTCTTTAAAAAATTCTTTCAAATTTGCCTTCTGTACTATGATTGACTCATAGTTTTACTTTTGCCAGTCTCTAGAATTCCCCTTCTAGATTCTTCTTTTCAGCTTGTCAAAGAATGTTTTCTCAAAGGTCTGTTTCCTTGACACTGCGTTTTGTCTCTTGGCTGCTACTTCAGTGTTTCACTGTGTTTTGAGTTAACAGTTACTACTGAGCTCTTCCTCCAGGCTGGACCTCCTTGAAATCTCTGACTCTGAATTTGTGAGCTGCCTGTGGACCTGTCTACCTAGATGTTCCATTGGCTTTGCCTGGAATAATTCTAAAATGAGACTTATCTTTCCCTGGCTGTCCTTCCAGCTATGTTCTCTGTTTCTCACACCCCGGGTGAAAGTCCTGGGTTACTTTGAGTGCTTTCTCTGTGTCCCCTAGGCTGCCTACCTGATCCCAGTCCCTCCCTCCACACGGTGAGCAGTTGCCAAGGTCCATCAACGTAAAAAAAAACAAAACAAAAAACTTAATCTGAATCAATGCTTTATAATCTAAAGAATTGCTTTATATGTTAAAGTCTCAGAGAGAGCATAGGAAACTATGAAAGCTTTAGAAGAGATGGAAATTTGGGGAAAGGGAGGGAATCAAACAACTCTTAAATTCTTACCTACTTAAGTTCTCAGTCCATCTTTTACCGACCTTTGCAATAGAGTCTTTACATATTGTAGGTTACCAATAAATTTTTAACGAATACGGTTATGTGACCTTTGGTAATTTCTTGCCACAAACATTGAGGTCTGTTTCACAAGAGTTCTGCTGAGATTAGTGAATCTCAGGTGATCTGTACAGCGGCCGTAAGGGCAAGTCATATAATTTGCATGCCAATAAAGAAATTTAAATGTGCATTTAAAAGTTCCCTCCAACTTTACAGTGTTTTAAAAATATGACCATGAATTTTCAAGCAGATAAATGGTCCATGGAAATATGTTTCTCTATAATAAGTGGGAGTAAAGCAGGATTTAGAGAGTAGAAGTTGAAAAAACTGTTGACAGGGTGAAATGACCATCACTGGAAAAGGTGGAAAACCACTGACTGAGAAAACCAACCTCTGAATATAGGAAGTGAAGCAGGTAGTGAATTACAATAGATGCTTTAAGTATTTAACGTGGTTTGCTCATGTTGAAAGTTGACCTCTTACTAAGTTATTTATGTGTGTAGGTATCAGTGTACTATGGCTTTTCCCCGGCCTCCCCGTCCCTTTTGAGATAAGCATACAAATGAACTTTTTGGAGATCGTTATTTTACATCTGTTTAACCTGGAATAATTTTAGAACTTTGCCATCTTCATGATCTTAATAACAAATGCATAATGTCCCAGCTTCTTTAGAAATATTGGGCTATCTGTTTCTGGGCTGACATTTCTAGATGCAATGATAATAATAACCAACTCACATAATAACCAATGATGATAATAGTCAGCTCAGTGGCTGAAACAGTATGTGCCAGCCACTGTTCTACATGTTTCTGCCTTTTGTTTGTTTTCCATGAACGCTGGCTAACGGTTTTATAACGCAATGTTTTCTAACTCCTTTCATGGCATGGCATATGTATACAGAACTAATATTTGCATGGGACACTGGGATAAGTGCCTCAGGAGCTTGGCTGCTCAGGGCCCAAAGGCTTCTGTGTGGAGGACATCTGCACTCTCTTTGAGGCACACCAGTGTGCCTGTGCACACAGTGCTCAGAAACTGTATTACAGTGTATTGCAGACTTTATATGGCCCTGATTTCTGCTGGTAGCATTGTTTGCTTGATCTTATGATGGCATTAAATATTCACTAATCATCAGGGGTCTGTTTCGTCTTCTACGGAAGGATGCTGTCACCCCCACTATTCCCCTTCCTGAGGTTTGGAGCCACTAGGAGAAAGTCCGTGCACGTGTGCCAGCCCTGTTTCCAATCACACTGACACTTCCGAGCCTTTCTAGTTTGACTAGTCACTAGCCTCCAGATTGCTTCCAAATCTCTGCCTCTGAAACATAGCCATTCAGTCTTGCAGGGAAGTCAGTTTTGTAAGTGTCCTCAATTGAAAGAGCTTGTATGAGAGGTGAAGAGAGGGGAATACATTCCAGAAAGTCTTTGCTGAGTGGATGACTTGGGCCTCTTCTGTCCCTGCTCCTTCTCCCACCAAATAACTGGTGAACACCTAATGCGGAGTTCGATGTCCTCGAGGCTCAAAGGGCATCTGTCGGTCCTTTGCGTGTTTCTGAAAAGCGCCTGGTTACGTCTGAGCTGGTCTGCTTCTACATGCCAGGGCCACGGTTGACTCTGCTTCTTCCTTCTCCCACCCTTTCCTTTCTCCTACTCTGGAAACAGCCAGACACACTGAAATATATAAGCTTAAAAATACTTTAAAAATGCGCAACGCAAATATAAAACTTTCCTCTCTTTTAATTGTACTTAAAGTATTCTTCCTCCACTCCTACTGTGCTTTTGGAACTGTGATGTGCTGATCCAAGAAAAAAACAAAATGGACTGAATCCTGGAACTCACAAATTCTAGGGTTCAGTCCCAGAGCTGCCACATATCCAGCTAAATAGGCAAGTTTATTGCATTTCTAAGCCTTCTTGATAATATGGGCCATTTCCCCCTCAGAGCTGATCTTGAAAACCCAAGGGAATCTAATGCCTGAAAATATTCTGTAGGCTCTAAAAGCAAAAGGTAAATGCAGTTTGTCATTGTATTAAGGACGGCCAGGGAGCCCTCAAGTAGCAGTTGCTTGTAAGAATTTAAATTCCAAGAGTTGGTGAGCCCGTCTCTGGGGATGACAAAGTTGACCTGAGCTCTCCCTCTTCATTCCCTCCCTCGCCCTGCAGTGTGAGCTGATCCAGTACCTGGGCCTGAGCCATCAACTGCTTGCATTGAATTTTATCATCACTTCTGTCGGCCAGAAAAACGCCTGGTCATCTGCTCGGGTGAAGGTGACCGACACTGACTTTGACGGCGTGGAAGTCCGAGTGTTTGAAGGCTCTCCAAAGCCAGAAGAGCCACTGAAACGCAGTGTTCTTTATATCCACGGGGGAGGCTGGGCCTTGGCAAGCGCAAGTATGTCCTGGTCACCCTCAGGTTGTTTGGGGTTGCGGTTGGCCCTGGGGGAGAGGTGTATGGGATTGAGTTTGACTTTCTTATTGGGTACAGACAGGGGGGCCATTTGACTTGGCTCCTCTGGCCAGTCCCAGTCGCCCTTGCTGTCCCAGCAAAAGTGTTAGTGGTGTGTCCTTTTCATGCTTTAAAGCATCCTGACTTGCGTGATTAATTTTATGTTTATAGCCTAAAGATTTTTACCTTTGTACTGTAACATAAAAACCTATCATATGAAGGTTTTTGCCTATTTCATTGCTTATTTGTTAATTAAGGTAGTCCTGTTTTGAAAATATTTTTGTGACCTAAATCATAGACGAAGGTTGCAAATGACTAGCAATAGCTTTCTGCACCAAAACAAGGTGAGGTGTCACTGGACCAGAAGATGAGGGAATTCTTTATCATTCTTTTGCCAACTTGTGTTTTGAAGACATCTTTCTATGAAATAGAACAAGTATTTCTAAAGGCTCATGTTGACTCATCAACGTTTTATCTGCATATGAAACCAAGGGTGAAGTAATCTTACAAAGCGCAAGAATGTTTTCTGTAGTATTGGGTTACTTTCATCAGCAGAACAGGTTCACCATGGCAGGCTGCCCAGTGGAGCAGGCCAGTGGCATGCGTACTGAGGATGCATAGAGAGATGGGGTCTCATCTCTGCTGGGGATTTCCTCAGAGCTGTTTCCTCATCTTCCGCCCGGAGCTTTGGCATCCCTTGAGTTTAAAAATGATGTCAACTAGTTCTACTTTGTTGGGTTTTTTTTTTTTTCCTGAAATAGCATTTTTTATGAGGCAAATGCCAAAAGTGTAGCTTTTCCTACCAATCCCCTGCCATTTAACTCCATATTCATCATTTATTCTACTAGTCATTGATTTGTTCACGTTTTGAACAGATATTTATTCAGCACATAGGATAGCCTAAGACTGAGAAGTTTCTGGGGGTACAGGACTTCCAGTACAAAACCTCAATTGTGTGCACATCTGGACCTTTGGTGACCCTAATATGTGGTGGGTGATGGGGATATAAAGATGCATGAGGCAGAATCTTCCTAGAAAAGAGCGAGTCTGTACCATTGGACACTTGCCAGGTCAGACGTTATATTGGAGGCCAGGAAATGTAAGTATAGGGACTGGTATAGATTATGAGTCAACCTGGCCTTCTGTACATAATTTTAACTGATCACTTTTGCAAGAAAAAGAGCTCAGGCTGAGAGAAATGTGTAGATGGATATGCAGTTATTAAACTTCTGATTCTAAGACTTCCTTGGAAGGCCTATGGATAATGTGACATTTGGCTTTCTGTTGACACAATCTGCACTTAATGTTTTGAAGGAACAGCTAAGGGTTACTTTTTTACATTATAAAATTTCTTCTCTCACTACAAACCTTTGAATCCCCTTTCTAAATATTGCTAAGTGTTCTTAAAATTCTAGTTTGTGATGTGTTGGTTTAAACAAAATACCATAATCTTCAAATTGGTGACTTTCCTGAATTGAAGCAAATGAGGATGTTGAAAGAGAAAATTTTTATGGTTTTAAGAAGAAAACTGTTTATGTGCTGTGATTTTTGGAAAAGCACAGAGTCAAAGAGCTACAAAATCAGAATTAATTTGGTGCCTAACTTGTAGTTCATTATGAAATAAATGTTTAGTTAGTTTAAAACACACTCAAATGCAATCTAATATGGATTTCCTGTTATTTTATAGTAATTGTATTTTATCAGAAACTTGATTTAAAGTTTGCATTTGCACATGTAACTGTATTAAGGAGATACATTGTCCCATTTGCTTTTTATTATTAATAACTTAAGTCCAAGTCTAAAAGCAATTCACAGCAGAATTTAAGAAAAGACAGTATGAAATAATTTAATAATGATTGCCCCTTTGTTTCTCTTAGAAATCAGGTATTATGATGATCTCTGCACAGCAATGGCTGAGGAATTGAATGCTGTCATTGTCTCCATTGAGTAAGTAATTAATACTAGTCATAGAAATAATTTAAGAAGGAGCTAGTTACTCTATTTTACAAGTGATTCAGTATAGACTAAAGGTCCAGGGAGGTGAGGTGATTTTCCCAAGGTTACACAAAATGATTTTTGATAGAATTTCTTGAACTCACTTTATAATGTCTCAAATTATATTTTTATTTTAGTTTTGGAAACTTCTAGAAAAGGAATTAACTGTAGTTGAGAGAAATATACAATTAGTTACCTACAGCATATAAATTTGATTACTGCCCCTCCCTTTTTTTTTTCCTATGAATACAGTTACTGACTTATCTTCCTCTGTCAAATCCTGAGCCCACCACTTTGCCCCAGGCTGCCTGGGGCTGCGTTAGAAAGGGAACATCCGGGGAAGGCAAGACGTGGGAGAAAGAACTAGGGGAGGTGGAGACGGCTCTTTCACGTGATGAAGAAGATAAGAAAAGCCGCCGTCAGGCCAAAGAGCCCCGCGGCCTCTGAGAGGTCAACGCCCAGAATGGCGTAGGAAAAGAGTTGTTGCTTCAGAAAAGGGCTCCTGGCATCACCAAAGACAAGGCTCCCAAACACAGTCGCAGTTCCAGGCCCAGAGCCAGCCACGCCCACTGCGGCAGCCCCAGTGACCTTGACTGCTGGGTCGATGTCCCCTGAAATGCCGCTGGTTTGGAAGCTGCGGCTAGAAACCAGTGCGGTCAGAGGACGCGGGGCTGCTAAGCTGGGGAGGCTGTCATCTGTCTGCGTCTCTGGTGATTTCAGCACCACCGCAGACAGTGACCGGCTCAGCAGCTGCGAGGTGCCCGGACCAAGGCTGGGGTGGAGAGAAACGGGGCGCAGGCGCACGTTTTCAGGGGGTGAGGGGCTGTGGCAGGAGAGCTGCTCCCAGGGCAAGGGAGTCAGAGAGCCGATTCCTACGGCGTTTTCAAACACTGAAAACCAATCAGTATTTTAAGAGAATCTCTCCTATGACCAAAAGGTGTAAAAGTTACTCTTCTGGAGTCAGGTTCTGTAACTCAGACCTTGTAAGCGGGAATGAGTTCAACAAATTTTAGTATTATCATCATTATCAGTAGTATTAGTATCAATATCTTGAGTTGTTTCTACAAATTACTTATTAACAATCTTTCTGGGAAACTAAGAAGAATGTGAATACTTAAGAATTGTGGTGATAGTAATAATACAAAAACCACGGTACCTATTCCGTGGCAGACAGCGTGCATATGCTGTTGTGTATGTTGTGTCTCTTTCAGATCTGTGTTCAAATATCATCCTTTCAGCTAGGCTTTCCTTGACATTCTATTAAAAAGTGCAGCCCACTTTTCCTCTGCTTGATTTTTCTCCAGAACTGCCATGAACATTGGACAGATCGTATGTTTAACTTATTATGTATTTATTGTACTAAATGAAAGCAGACAAAATAAGTTTCATGAAGACAGAGATTTTAGAGATTTTATCCTTTTTGTTTATCGCTGGTCCCTCTGCCTGGTAACATTCTTGGCAGATAGTGGGCATTCAATAAATATTTGTGGGATGAGTGAATAGAGTCCTGCTTAGTTCTCATATAAATCATCCAAGATGAATATTTAGACCTTTTCCTCACAGATGAGGAAAACAAGGCCTGAGAAGTTAAGTGACCTGCATGAGGTCCCATAGCTAGCTGGTCACAAGGGTGGAGTGGAGAACTGAGCCAGGCCAAGTGGTTCCCGAGGCACAGTATCAAGCCACTATCAAAGGAAAGCGATAACGCTGACAGTGTGACCGTGTATGGCACCACCATCCACCTTCCATGCCCTGGGCTTATCCAGTCTCCTGTCCCTCTGCCTCTTCCCGCCAGCAGCTCCCCCATTCACGGCTCATCTTCTGCTTGCCCCCAGTCCAGACCTGGGACACAAGAGAATCCTTTCTCTGGCAGTCCCTCGCCAGGGCTGGTCTCCTGCGACATTTGGGCAGCTCTGGCCCTGTGAACAGAATCCCTAGAGTCACACAGGCGGAAGTGTGGTTGCTTCCTCAGCAGATTTTCCTTTCAGTAAGGCCTCCCAGATCACTCAAGGGCCCTCAGGGACGTTTTGTAATGCAGGAACCTTCAAGTAAATGATGATGGCAGCTGGCCTGGGCATCTGGCCAGAGGAAAGCAGGGACTGTGGGAGCAGCTGAGCCCCACTATGGAGCCAGATCTTATAGTCCGGTGCCTGGGAACCCCTCAGAGCTCCCTCAGTGGTCTCCTGTGTGGCTCCAGCTCCTGTAAGGCCTGGGGAAAGGAAAGAAGTCGGCCTTGTTTTACTTGGCACCATGAGGATGCTCCGCCCAGGCCTCACCTACCGGGACTTGCTTATAGCAACTGGCAACATGCCTAAGCTCTTCCTATATGCTCTTCGCCACCTGTCAGCACCTGTTTCAAGTAAAACAGGTGCTCTTAGGCTTATCATAAAACACAGGGATGGAAGAGATGTTTTTTAAGATTTTTTAAAAAACAACTCAAACACAGAAGGGACTACTTTCATCTTTAGCTTTCCATTGGCCCTACTCTATACAGTGTAGCCTCCAGAATTTTATCAGCTGGGAGGCATCACAGCAGCAGGCAAGTACCATTACTCATGACTGTTTGACCTCAGGCAAACCATTTAATCTCATGTGCAAAATGGGGTTAGAAATCCTTTCCGTGTGTTTAAAATGTGAGCTGCTGGGAAGAGAAATCATATCTCCTTTCACTGAGGTCCCCATCACCCAGTGCAAGGCTTAGCACATGCATGCTAGGCAAATATACCTCGAGTTGGGTTAATGACTTCAAAGAGCTATCACAAGAATCAGTTTGGGCAATTGAGATAAAAGGGCTTCTGACACCCACAGGTGCTAGGCAAGTCTAGGGGTTAGTGCTGTAGCCCACAGAAGGGAGAGGCCCAACTTACAGATTTATTTATTGACATATGTTTGAAAGTCACAGCACTTTCCTTTGCAGAAGTAATGAGCTAAGACGCTTCGGATCCTGGCCAGCCAGTTTACACAGAGCCTAGTTAAGGCACAGCCAACATCATATGATCATGATGGTTCTGTTGGAAAGTGTCTTCAGGGGTCTAACTTGGGAACATATCTCTTTTCACGTCTTGCCTCTTTCTTTTATTCCATAAATATCTATTGAATTCCTATTATGTGCCAGTTACTATGTTAAATTCTGGTTACATACAATGTGAGTGAGACAGACATCATACTTACTCTCATGGAGTTTGCAATCCAGGTGAGAAAATAAACCTTAAGCAAGTCATGTTAAGTGTGATAAGTGATGTGACGTAGAAGGTGAGTAGTAATGGAGGCATCTAATAGGTAAGATCTTACATAGTTTGAAGGGTCAGAAAAGGTGTCTTGAAGTAAATCATATTTGAACTGAGGTCCTTAGGATGAGTATTACCTAGTTAGACAAAGCGAGTTGGTCATGGAGGTCCAAAGCGGTGTAATCAGAGGGCTTGGGAGGAAGGCGAGGAGGCGGAGAGCATTAAGGGAATAAAACTTGGGAGGAGACAGAGGGAGATAGACTTCTGGCGTTGACGAATGAAAAGAAGAAATAAAGGAGGATGATCCTGAGAGTTTTCCGGAGGCGGTGGCCTTCCTGGAAGTTCTCCTTCTCCTGGCAGTTGTCCGCAGACAGTGCTTCCTTGTCTTCGAGGTCCACAGGAGCGGGTAATGGTGTCCTGGCTTTGCTTCATGTGGGGCAAGGGCTTGGGGAACGTTATAATCTGAGGAAGCTGGTGGGCAGGGGCTGGGCAGCCCCGGTCACGGAATCACCTCATGTAAAGCATGCACCAGCAGTGGGAACTCCTCAGTTCATGTTACCGGTGCTGGCTCAAGGTTCTGGGGACTGACCTGGTAGTTGAGGTATAGACAAAGGCCTCAGGGAATAAAAAACAGGCCATGCCTTCTACTCAGCTGCTTTTGCAACACTATGATATTTTACATAATAATTTCACAATAAGTATTAGTTACATAAATGAAAAAATGTATCGTATAATAGCGAACATGCATGGATGTATCCTCATTTATATAATCTAGGAAGCTCTATTTTATATTCATAAACTTATTTTCATAAAGTTCACTGTAGTTTAGCTATAACATAACATCGTGTCTTTCTATCTGTAGTTTATATAAGACACAATACTAGAACCACAAAAAATAGGTGAAAAGGAAGATTCAACTTCCTTTTTAAAAGATAAAATGTAAGCTTACAAATTTGGCATGTTGGATATTATTAAATTTTATTTAATAAATGGTATTGAATCCATAAATTCTATTAAGTTCTAAAAAGCATTTATATTGCTTTCTTGGATGTGGAAAAGAGTTTCAAGTTGTGTTTTGCTTTTCATTACATCTTTACTGCACTCAAACTCTCCATTTGACGTAGACGGAGATCTAGTCCCATTCCAGCAAATGGCAGTGGCAGTACACAGAGAGAATTTAAAATTTTACAGAGCTGTAAAGAAGAACGTTGCTAATGCGGACAGAAAAGAAGCTGGAGTGCTCACTGTAAGAGCCCGCAGCCGCCATCCCGCCCGCCCTGCGACCCCCGCTACCGCACACTCCATCCAACGCGGCTCGGTGACGCTGGGCTTCCTCTGTTCCTGAAACTCCAGCCCCGTTTACTCTCCTAGCCTGCGGCCACAGCCCTTGCTCACCCAGCCCTACCTGACCACCGAACATTCCCTGCTAAACAATAGGCTTATGAATAATCTAGCATTGTGCAGAAGCTGGCCAGCCCTAACCCTCGTCCTAGGCAGCTTACCTCATGCTTCACCCCTTAAGATTCAACCCTAAACTCATAAGAACGCCCACACTTACACCCTCGCTGCTGCAGTCTGCTCCGACTCAGTCCACTTAATAGCAGCTCACGGGTTAAACCTGATGAACTCATTGCCTGTTCTCCTGTCCTCTCTCCCCTCATCTGCCAAACCTAACACTTAACCTTAGTTTGCTGCTAATAGAATTACAAAGAGTGGGACACTTTT